ATACGCATACTTGTTTATATATTTGGTACTTTCACCTACTTTCTAACGAATTCACAGTCACTGCTTTGTATGATAAATTTCTGATAAAACTTGCGTTTCTCTAAGGGAGCATTCTCTATTAAATTTAATAATTCGCAAAATTTAATAATTTTCATACCTTTTTTTTGGTATGGAAAGTTGGAAGTATAATTTTGTAGTTATAATTTCTCTCGTCACGCATGCTGACTTTCTACACAGTGTTAGTTAATTTTTTCATGGTTTTATTTTGATAATGTGATATTCAAAGACTGTGCATCGTTGGTACAGTATATATTTATACTACTGGGCGATTACAGATCTCAAAATGAATTAAAAATGATTATCATTCAGAACGTTTATCGCGATCGTTTCTTCTTTTCTTTGAATGTTACAATAAACTCGACGTGAAAATACAATTTCGACACCGATAATGAGATGTCGAATAAAATTTCAGAGCAACCAATTTTCAACCACGGCGAAGAAACTACGTTTCGCTCCCTTCAAAGGAAACTGCCGCAATTCCTCAAAATAACCAACGGCGATCGGAGTAATTATGTAACGAACGTTTCGAATATTCTTGTACGAAGAATATTCTATTCTTGTAATATTCTACAACTTGTACGCGTGAGCATTGACTTTCGATAACAACGACGACGTATTATTAGAACAAAATTATAGAACCGATTTCAGTATGCAATCCGAGGATGCAAAATCTAACTTTAAACCAGGTGCAGCAACGTGCGGCAGACTTGACAGAGGTCGAGCTTGAGAGATCGGCGCGGGCACGTTCGAGACGTTTCATTAAAAGTCGATGTTACGACATCGTGGTGTGCTCGATCGCTCGCGCGAATCTAGGCACGCGACCTAGACCCGACCTTTCCCAAGTTTCCTGGCGGAAACGGGGCTAATACAGCCCGCCAACACTTTGCTTGCTTCGGCAATCGAACTAAGAAATAAACGATGCTCCATATATGTAACAAGCTGCGATCCACCCGAATTACGAGGACGCGAGTGTAGTATCGATCGAGTGTCCCCGTAACTCTAAAAATTCCCCGTTCAATTTTAAAAGCTCTACGGAAAGCACGGAATTTTTTTTTTAATATTGAAAAAAAGGAAGAAATTTCAACGATTAAAACGTGAAATATTTGTTAAAATGGAAGAAGAGTACTATTTAAATAAATTCTTTATTACAGAAGGCGGCAATTATTTCTATATATAATAAATACACATAATAAATATAAAACATACTTTGTACAACAAAAAAGACTCTGTTAGTACATTAATATATTGTATTGTTATTATTATATATTGCGTATTGTATTGTACAAGGTGGATTAGTCAAATGGTGGTAATTTTTTTCAAACTTGGCGAGAAGTTTATAAAATGGTGAAGGGAATTTTTCAGAAAATTGAAATTATGTATCATGTATCACTTCTCTATACTATACTTTGGTTACTTCTGTATGCTATACTTTATGACTGCTTTAAACGAAGTCACATTAGAGAAACATAATCAACAAAATTTCATGCTAAATACCATTCAAATAGGATGGTTGTTTCGACAATATTGTATCATTTTGTTTGATAAACAGTGATAAACTTCACTCACTATTTCGTAAATAAATTGCTTGGCAGATGATACAAAAAATATTTCCGAGGGCAAAGTGTCGAAAAAATAAAAGTATCCTAAGACTTTCGAGCAGGAGTGTGCACGCATTTCTCAATTCCTCCATCTCACTGCTTCAATCGTTGACAGATTTCATTAGCCGAAAGCTACAAATCGTGGTCAATCATGCATCTGCGTAAATCGTACAGATCCCGAGCAAATTTCGATGCTCTTCAAAATAGGTGGAGAGTGAAATTCAGCGGTCATATATAGAGGGTGTTTCGTAACTTGTGAGACCCACTTCGGGAGCTGATTGTACGCCTAAAAATAATGAAAAAAAAGTCATGTAAATATATATGTCCTATCTGTCTTCGTTTATGAGATATAATGAATTTTCTGTTTTAATTACTTTTACAAAAGATGCTCGAAATGA